CCACTTTGCATTTCACTAACATGCTCAGAACTGCTCAAGAAGAATATGTTCAACCAGATTCCATTTAGACAAGTTTGAAAATAACCTCTAACAGGCAACAACACCATAGAGAGAAACTTGAATTCCATGTACCATTAACTTTGATAAAGCTATTAACCAATTTCTGCAGTTTAACTGTACATTCACAGTGCTCCCAAGTCCTTCTGGGAGCAATTGTAGGTGTCCTATGACAGCACTGCAGCTGATCCAAGGCAAAGCAAGCAGCGGTGACTGAGGTCACCTCAGCTCATTCCTTCAGAAAACCGTGTAGGATCTCACCATGCATGACGCGGCCCAGCCAAAACGAACACCACTCAGCTGAACTGAATGAACTGAGCAGAATGAAGACAAAAGGATTCACAACCTTAAAAGGCTGAAATCGTAAGACAAGCTGAGCAAAAATAATTTAGATGTTTAGATCTCTCATGCCAACCCTAACAAATCCGCAGAACTCAAACTACCTTTCACCCAAAAACATTACAACACAACAGGAAGGTGAGCACATTAGAGATACATGAGAAGGATGAATAGTCCATAAACAAGGTGCATCACAGGCATGTCATATGAACAAATGGTGCCAGGATGCACTTGCAGAACCCCACAAGCCACGCCACAGTAGAAGTATTTCAGAAGGAAGATAGGCAAGAAACTTATTTTTCCACATGAGGAAAATGTTATTTTTATCAGTTGGAAGAACAGATTTTACATGTTGAAGGTCTACTTTGATTCTTCTAAATTTTGGTATTATAATGCACGCTGTCACAGCTGAAAGGAAGAGAAGCACTTAAGTGACAGTTCTTCCCTGGGAGGAAAGAAAGAATTACCAGAAAAGTACAGTCTTTGACTATTGAACATACTATGTTGACTTCAAAGTGCCCAGCTGAACTCAGAGTCTGGTAATTGATAGTGGAAAAGCTTTTTTTGTTGGCTGATATATATATATACACATATATATATATATAGCTGGGGTATTCCACCCAGTCTTATCCTATCAGCATTGCCATTTTTCACTGAGATCCTAAAACCAAAGGCATCTTTAAATAAGAATTTCTTGTTTTTCATAAATATTCATAATTGACTGAAAAGGAGGGTGGCTATAGCTCCTTTTTACATATTTTCTACTCAGTCTTCCCATTAACTCACAGTTAATGTCCTTTTTAAAACAAAGCTGGGAAAAACAATAAGCCAACTCAGGCAAAAAAGGACCAGTCTCATGACAAGCTGAACCAATCCTTGGAATTCATCTTCCCTTTGCAGTCAGATGTTAACTCAAGAGTCTGCAGTCTCCATAATGATCTGGGGTCAAGAAACTCATCCGTGACAATTTTCCCTTCTTTTGGCAAAACTGGCCTAACACAGAAAGTCCAGCTCAGAGAGACACGTAACTGGATGTTCTGAAGATGTTGACTAAGCAAGGGGATAAATCTAAAGAACAGGGAATTTAAATTGCAAGAGAATTTTATTTCAAGAAATTGCACCATGGCAATCATGTTCAAACCATTTCTTACATTCTAATATGATCAATCTATAGGTTATAAACACATTATTAAATATCTGAAGAGTTATTAGCATAAAATTATCAACAACTGCTAGAATTAATAAAATATTGGGAAAATGACTGCAAGTCACATCAAGTTCTACCTTACTAAACCACCTGCTTAATTTCCTATTACTGTAAATGGCAAGCCTGAATTTCTTCCCACTGCTATACTGCCTCAAACCATCACAGTAAGAACCAGAATAAATCCAGAGAAAATGCAAAGACCTTCATCCTTTACTGTGTGCAAGGGAAGAAAAAACCACAAACAATCTAAACCCCCCATGTTTTTTAAACATCTTCTTTTAATATCGTGTGTGATTTTTATGACGACTTATACCAGAACCTGAATTACAGATTTTATTCTTGATATAATATTTAAATGACACTTGAGAACTGCTTTAGCAGTAAGTTCTTCATCAAACCTAGCCTAAGCATGCTACATTACTATTTAGCCTGTCATGACATATTAGTAGACAGTCTTTTGGTTCTTAAGGCACATTTCACCATTATTTTACCTGTGTCAAAACTGCAGAAAAATCTGCATTTCTCAGGAACAACTCCCTGGGAATGATTTTATGATTGAGATTGAGAAATACAGCAGAAACAGACAACCTATGAACCTAAAAAGAACACCGCTAATTCTAACCCCTTAAATGGAAGATTAGAGTTTCTTAATTATACTTTCCACAGTGCCCAGTGCATTGAAGATATTTTTTTTCTTTTTTTTAAATTCCATTATTATGTTCCATACTTGGGCACACCGTCAAAGGTTCCCTGACTTGATTGTGAAAATTTGTGTCACCACTGATTAGCATCCCTTCCTGTTGAAATATTCCTAAATATGGTAAAAAGAAACTTCAGAAACTGAGAAGTATTTGGGCTTCATCCAGAGATTTGGACTCTTGAGGATGACAATGGTTAACTTCCTCAAATCTCTGGGCATTCTTTAATATTATCAATTTAACAGCAGTCTCAAATAACATTCTTTTGCCAACTGCACCTAAAAAAAACAGGTGTACAGAAGGTGACACTAAATGGTAACCTATTAGGGATGACCAGGTTCCACTGCAGCAGCATGCTAACAGGACTAGCCAAATTCCACTAACTGTCCAGACAAACTGAAAAATTTATCCTGAATGTAAGACATACTTATGCTCCCAAAACAATGGAAAAATTTAATTCCAGATATGTTCTCTGCAATCCATTATCTTAAATGGTTCCAAAATAATTTCCAACTACTCCACAGTACTAATCAGCCATCCAGTAGATAAGAAAGCACAGCTATCACAACAATACTATCAACAACACCAATGTCCAAATTCAGATGAAATTAAGAATAGCTGGTGACTGCCTTTCTGCTTCAGGAACCTGATTTTCAAAAGAAAACTTTCTTGCTGGATAAGAACAAAAGCAGAGCACTTAACTTTCACTCAGAGAAAACAAATGAAAAATAGCACTATGGCTTGACAACTTTTGGAAGTTTCCTAAGAACATGAGAGTTCCCTCTACAGCTGATGCTAGTTTATGAAGCCTGCCAAAAAATTAATCCAGATAATAGCACATTCCCAAGGGGCCCCAGAGAAGAAGAGACCAGGGACGCTTTCCGGGAGCCTTCATCATTCCCATCTCCCTGGCACAAATCCAGTTAAGTGATGGATAAAGGCAGCAGGTTCCTGAAAGTAGGCTGTCACCAACTAAACAGCCTGCTGCTCTTTCAGTGTCCCTCAGGACACCATGAAAAGGACCAAAAGAAAAAGGCTGTTTACCAGTGAAAATTAGCCCATTGTCCACTTGAAAATTATTTACTGGTGATCATATTAGGCAAGCACAATAGGTAAGGCATTGGCACCCTCTGCACCTAGAAAAGAGCAAATGAGCCACCGAAGTAACTGGTGAGTGCAACTGCCCTGCCTTGAGACTTGCAGTGCTGAGGAGCACATCCAGTGAACTGAGCTCTAGAGAGATCCCTTCAAGCAGTCTGAGCTTCCCTGCCAGCCAGAGGCACTAGGAAGGAAAAAAGTGAACACCTGCCAGAACCTGAGCCTATCACTTTTTAATCTTATTAGTTCAAATCATTCTCTAATAGTCCATGGAAACCTGGCAAGCCGTACAATCTCCTCCTCACTTTCAGCTCTCAAATTACACTAGAAGATAGCAGAACAACTAAGAAGAATTATTTACTATTTTCCAAAATAAGTAAGGCAAGTTTGCTACCAACAAAATCATTAATTGAAGTACAGTCTTGAGCTTAAAAGTGTTAACAGCTCAAAATGAGAAGATCAAGCTATATCTTGTTTTGATGCAACAGACTAAGAATTTCCGATAGCATACGTACAGAATTTATGTTTTAATTACAGAATTTATGTCTCAGTACTTTTTTTATGCACTAATCCTTTCTCCTAAAAAGATACATACTTTTCAAACGGTTATGTCTTAGTCTTTTTTTGAAAGACTTTGAGCTGGAAGAATTAATTTGGAGCCTAAACGTCTAATGTTTTGATAAACATTTAGAAACAATGTATCTGTAGTTGAAAGTTACAGCTAGTTTAACACCATAAAAGAAATTAGGTTCAAGAGACTTATACAATGTTACACTGCTGTAAGAAAATAACCGCGGGGAAGGGGTATACTTACGCACCTATGAGGAAAAAGTCCCTTTATGCTATGGGATTTCCCAGACAAAGCTTTTACGGCTCAAAGTAAAAGAAATGTCAGCAGCAGGTGGAAAACAAACCATATTACACAATCTCAAATAAGACACACAAAGCTAATTATTAACTGTCTATATGTTATTTTATCTTCAGTTTCAACACTTCAGCATTAAGCACAATTGTTGTCAAGTAAAAGCCAGATTCTTCCTCTCCATCTAGTCCGGCCTTGGAACAAGCAAGGTGGGGATAACACCTGAGCTCAACACGTCAAGCTTTACTTGGTAGGAAAAGAGAAAGCTCCCATAGGAATCCCCTTCAAAGAACTAAATACAAAACGCTTTTAATCATTTTCTCATGCCTGTCTGTGAAGCAACTGTAGATGGTGCTTTTTACTGTTCATCCTTTCAAAAACACTCCAGCGCGGACCTTTCTCACTACTTGTTTTGCTGTGCTGCAGTGTTACTCGTGGTGAGCAGGCCAGCTCGTCCCCCACGAGCATCCCGGCGCTCGCCCCCGCGGCCCGCAAGGCCAGAAGGGCCCGAAGGGGCCCCGGCGCTGTCACCGGCCAGCCCCCGCCGGGACGCGGGCCCGGCCCGGCCGGGCCGCCGCCGCTGCTGCTGCTGCTGCTACAGCTTCCCGGCGCCAGCGAGCCCAGCGCAGGGCCGGGACAGCGGGCCGACCGCCCGTGGGGGCCGGAGCGAGAGCGGGTCAGAGGGCCGGCCACCCGCGGGGTTACCTCGGGAAGAGGCCGGGCCGCAGGAGCCACTCACCCACATCCTGGTCGAAGGGGTTGGTGGCGAAAAGCGGCATCGCGGAGCGGGGGGCGCGGGGCGGCCGCCCCTCCCGGCAGCGCGGCGGCAGCGACGGCGAGAGAGAGCAGCCCTCGGCCCGGCGGCGGCTCCTCCTCCCGGCCCGGGCAGCTCCGCCACCGCCTCCTCCCAGCGCCGGCACCGCCCCCCGCGCAGCACGCCGGGAACCGGGCCGGACCCGCCGCCCGGCCTGCCCCGGGGCACGGCCCGGCCTGCCGCCTCACACGGGCACCTTAGAGCCGGCACGGCTACCCTAGGCGGAGGTTTATATTGTTTGGTTACGTGGAGCTCGTTCGTCCTCCCTGCTCGGGAGGCGAGACCTTTGCTTACTACGGAAGATCTTTGGAACTTCCCTATACGTTGGGGTAACCGAATATTTTCATTGGTAATGCCATGGTGCTTGTGACATGGGTTAGCCCGACGGCAAAGTGCAGGATGGTGGTTATGCCAGCATCCCAAACAGCATCGCACGGGAGCACGGTCACATCCCATAGAGAGCAGTAGCTATCAGCTGGTCACAGGGCCTGGAATATCCCGTGGCCTCTGGTTGCTTATCTTGGTGCTCCACTTTGTAAGCTTATGTTGCTGGCTTCAGTGGGGTGTGTCGCACGTTAACAATATGACTCAGGATAAGACACGTTCTGCCTATTCCTGCTGTCACATAAAACTCAAGCATTATCCTTAAGGCCTTTTAGTACTGTTCAATTACTCTGAACCAGCTGGACTGCAAATTAAGTAAAATTAGGCTCATACACTTGGGGAAAGAGTCAGACACAGAGCAATAGGGGCGTATCACAGGCGTGCAAAAAAGAAACGAAAAAGGTGCTTGTTTGCAGGGCAGAAACACTAGATGCAATCAATAGTACTAACCGTGCTCAATAATGAATGTGATTGAATGCATTAGGCAGACTTCTGACACATCAGATGAAAACTGCACACCAAGCCTCTTCACAAGGATTTACGGTCACTAGGCACTTTGTTATTTTACTACGATTTTTTTCCCAGACCTCTAGTTCTGCTTCTTATCCACAGTAACTGTTTTCAGCAACTAATGCAGGTCAGCATTGATCTACTATGTAGAACTGATTACTTGTAAGGAATTGCATGTTTCCTTTGGATTCTACTTCAGTACAATGACTAGATATTCTCAGAGGATGCTTTGCCTCCTCCCCATTCATTATCCCCTATTATGTTCACAAAAGACATATGGTAGATATTCTCTGAGCCTGTTTTATCCCCTCCTTTTTCATCCCTTCTTTCTCTGGTGGGTTCAAAATGAATTGTGGGACTCCTTTCGAAACAAGCAGAGATTTTATTCAGCAGTTCTGCAGGAAGAACTAGCACAACACATGTGGGGAACTGGGGATTTAGATTGCCTTCTGTCTAAAATCATTCCAACACAACTTTCCTTCCCAATACCCTACTCAACATTTTGTAAAATGGTAGTCTATACCAGCAAGCATCCTAAGGCTCTGTAATCATGCATATGTAATCATATTTTGATTCTGTAATGATTTTCTTTATTGCAGACACAGTGTGAAGTCTTTTCAAAACTCCATATTATATTGTATCTCCCTCTTTTCCCTGCCTCATGCCTCTAGCATTTTTCCATGGCACAGCAATGGCTGGTAGTTAGAGCACTCTTCCAGGAAATGTGGGGTTTGCCCTTTCAGACATAAATGGCTATAGAAACCAGCTTTTCCACCTTATATGTGAGTAGTATAATGAATATGCTATTAAAAACAGGTGTGCTAATCTATATGCTATTAATAAATAGGTGTGAACTACATCTTTACTGCATGTAGTTCAAAGTGCTTGTATTTCCTACTGCTGCCTAAGTTAGCTATCTAGAAGTAAGGCATATAGTTCAAAGGTACAGTCTCAAATTGCATCTAATTTTGGGGTATCTACAGTTGAAAGAGAATGTAGCAGCACCGCCCTGTGCCCACAACTATGTGCTGCCACCACATTTCTTGTATTAGATTTGGAATTTGATCCATTTAATTGGTTGCTGCACAATCAGCTGTTCCAGTTGAAAACTACCTCACTGCGGAGAAGCTCCCTGTTGGATCGTGTCACACCTCTGACTCACCTTGGAATTAGATCAGGCATGTGAAGAGGTGGGAAGGATGGTCAGGAAAAACAGGCATGTCCAGGGGATTATTCATCTGTTCTATTTTGGACCTCATTCTGAAGATGGCCTCTGCAGCAGTGACTCAGTTGATTTCACAGATTAGCCTATCTGTCCAACAGTTCTCTGACCTAGGGCTTTTCTCTAGACAGCCTTATAGCAAGTTTTAAATAAGGTGGTTTTTTTTAAAATATGTGCTACTTTTGTCTGAAGTAAGCAATCTCAGATGACTGATGCAGACCTATCTTTTTTCTTTGAACACTTCTCTTTCATATAGTACTATTGTTCAGATACAGCTAAGAGATGATAGAATGGCTTGGATTAGAATGGACCTCAGAGGTAATTTAGTTCCAATCCCCCTGCCATGGGTAGGGACACTTTCCACTATACCAGGTTGCTCAGATCCCAGTTCAGTCTGGCCTTGAACCACTGCCAGGTTTGGGGCATCCAGAACTTCTCTGGGTAACATGTTCCAGAGCCTCACCACCTGACAGTAAAGAATTTCCTCCTGATATCTCAACTAAATCTACCCTCTTTCAGTTTAAAGCCCTTGTCTTATTGCTGTGTGTCTACAATATCCTTGTTTAAAAGTCTCTCTCCAGCTTTCTTGTCGGCAACCTTCAGGTACCTGAAGGGTGCAATGAGGTCTTCCAGAGCCTTCTCTTCTCCCGTCTGCAAAGCTCCAGCTCTCTCAGCCCATCTTCATGGCAGAGCTGCTCCAGCCCTCTGAGCATATTCGTGGCCTCCTCTGCACTCACTCCAGCAGGTCCACATCCTTCTTATGCTGGGGTCCCCAGAGCTGAATGCAGTACTCCAGGTGGAGTCTCATAAAGGTGGGTATTTAGTTAATTTCCAGCGTTATGCACTTCCTGGATTTTAAAGATGTGGCATACTTCTAAATTTGATTAAGTGTTTTGTTTATGTTATTTGTTTATATAATTTATTACTAATTTTTTAAATTATGACAAGAGTTTATCCATATGAAGATAAATTCCAGATTCTGATGATATACAATTATTCATTTCCCTATAGTCTTCAGTGGGAAAGGATACTTAGGAGCAGTAACTTGTAAATAACAATCTGCTGGGAAAGTTCTAATGTTCTTTATAATCACTCAATTGACACCCATCTGCACTAGACAAGCATTTTCTTAAAATAAGGCAAAAGTATTGTAGCCATGGAGGTCCATGCAGTTCCAGTTTGCTGGGGTAGTATTTTATTTGCCATGCCCATTTTTTTAGCATATCTTAGCTTTATAGCTGCCGCATTGTAAAAATAAGGTGTATGATGCAAGAAAAAAGTCAGGCCAGTACACTTCTAGCAAGAAGACAAATATGAAGAACAGCGATTGTCTCACAAATCAGTCCCACTGACCTTTATTTAACTGCATTTTCATTATAGTCCACTGTGTACATTGCTTTTGGAACTGGAAGCAGTGAAGAAAGGATAATCAAAGGAAAAGAGAAAGGTTCAGAATAGAGCGAGTGCCAGCCAGCCATTTAATCACAGCTTTTGTCTTTGACAGGGCAAGTACAGAATGTTTTGGATGGCATACAAGATGCTGTAATGCATAACAATACAATAATATGACGAAGACAAATTTTTTCCCAGTTACAGGGCACATGTAGATGCTTTAACTACTAGACCACAGTGATTTACTTCCCATCTATAATTTTATTGTATATGTTCTAATATTTTGCAAGTGTCCAAGCAGCATGATTTACAGTATTCTTATCTATTCCCTTAGGTATAGAGAAAATATTTGAAACATATCAATACAGTAGGTCTGGTGTCTGCTGTTAGGAAATCAGGCTAAAATTATTTAATCGTCCCTTTTTACCTTAATATTTATGAAGTATGCAATTAGGATTACATGAAGCATATAACCGAAGTTCTTCAAACCCATGCTATCTTAGAAATAGGCAAAGATTCTACTAACAAATTTTATAAAATAATTCATTTTTCCCTGACCACATTAAAAATTGTGATGTGCAAACCTTCTAGTTAATATTTGCACACAGATACCAGAAACAAGGGTTTATATCTTCCTCAATCTTTCTGAATTCAAAGCAGTAATTTCAAAGCAACTCGCATGAAGTAATATTTCATATATTTACACAGAAGTTTTGTTAAATTATTTTGGATAACAAGTTCATTGAAGTCAAACACAAAAATGTGTTTGACTAATCTTATGGTAATGTATTGTGATATGCCTGTGAAAGGCAGGTAAACTGTAAGGTGCTGGCTGCTGGGATCTCTGAGTGCCTGGTTTTCCCTGGGGATGCATCGCTCTGTGCCAGATTCCCAACACTGCTGTAGGGAACCACTTGTCCTAGTGCTTTTTTTGGCACAAACAACTGTTCTCAGCGTGGCCAAACTGACTAACCCAATATGGTCACTTTTTCATGCTGATAACTCAGACCAGTTTTTAACCAATGATTTTAACCAAATGATAATCTATTTGTTCTCCACCAGTCTGAAGAAGGAAATAGCAATACTTCTACTGACCACAATGGGCATCAGATTGGAACAGTACTCATTTGATAAAGAGCCCTTTTTAACTTAAGCTCTTGAAATAAAACTAACAAGCTTAGATTGTGTCTGCTCTGAAACTAATATTGGAAGCAGTCTCCTCTATAGGGATTATAGTTGTCACACAAGCAAACTACCATTGAAATATACAGAAAATCAGAAGGAATTTTCAGTATTACTGAAGTGTGTTTTGTGAAACCCTGTGAAAAATTTACCTGGTATCTGTTGGGCAAAGTAAAAAAGTTTCTTTGTAAGAAAAATATAACTTTTATTGCATAATCTAGAAAACAGAATTTAAGAATATATTTATGCTACTAGTTAATTTCCAAAGTGTATTTTATTTTTCTCACATGAACATTGAAGTTAATAGTACTAATTTCATTTTTAATC